AAGCCTGGTTTCCGGAGCCTTGGCCTCGGTCCTCCGCTGTTGGGGGTTTGGGGTTTAGGGTTTAGGGTTTAGTTTAGGGTTTAGGGTTTAGGGTTTGGGGTTTAGGGTTTAGGGTTTAGGGTTTAGGGTTTAGGGTTTAGGGATGCTTGGAAATCATTTTTTCAATTTTTGGGTACTTTAATTCCTAAGAAACAGCAAAACTTTGTTTTTTCATTTTTTGGGTACTTTAATTCCTAAGAAACAGCAAAACATATCTTTTGCTAGGGTTCCAAGTTCAGTATAGTTTAGGGTTTCGGGTTTAGGGCTTAGGGTTCGGGTTTTTGGGTTTCGGGTTCAGGGTTTAGGGTTGAGTGTTTAGGGTTCTAGGTTTTGGGTTGTGGTTTTGAGGTTTAGGGTTTACGGGGTTGGGGATTTTGAGATAGGGTTACGGTTTCAGGGCGTTACTTTCATTTATTTAGGAGGAGGGGGGGAGCCTGGCTCTAGGTTTTCAGGTTTTCGGAGTTTAGGCTGGGCTTCAGCTATTTTTGCAGTTGGACTCTCTAAGTGCATCTGCGATCTAGCCCCTAAACCCCTAAGCCCCAAAGCCCCCAAACCTTAGAAATCCTGAGCCTACCCGATGAGACAGAGGGATGAGCTAGGGCCTGGGGTTCAGGGTTTAGGGTTTAGGGTTTAGGGGTTTAGGGTTTAGGGTTTAGGGTTTAGGGTTTAGGGTTTAGGGTTTAGGGGTTCAGGGTTTAGGGTTTAGGGCTTTGAGCTTTGGGCTTTGGGCTTAGGGCTCGGGGTTTTGGGCTCAGGGCAAGGCTTAGGGAATTTTATTCTTCAGAATCCCCGAACTCTTAGGTCCTGCACCCCAACCCTAAACCCTATCAACCATAAACCCTAACCCCTATGAACCCTAAACCTTGGGATGTTCCCCTTCTACGAACAGCCCTGAATAGGGATTATAGTCCCCCAATTAGCGTAATCCGTATTGAGGACTATTGGTATATGGGGGAACATTAAACCCTAAGCCCGAATCCTGGCGAGGTCCATGCTGTCTTCCTTGCCCGACGACCTGGCAAAGGCGGGTGTGGCGCCAAAGGAAAAGAAATTTTCACATGGGGGTTTAGGGTTTAGGGTTTAGTGTTTAGGGTTTAGGAAAACAGGGGACCCCCAATATGGACCCCCACATAGTAGAATTCCCTTTGTTATCAGGACCCCCATAAGGTACCCCGAATTTCGGACTCCCCCATATGGCAGCCCCAAGAAGGAGGGTTAAAGGTTTGGGACCCTTCTTGCTACGTACCTGTAGTTTTCCCGCGATTTCTCCTAAACCTTAAACCCTAAAACATGTTCCTGGAGTTCTCCGTCTTGGGGTTCCCGTAGGGCTTGCCTTTGCTCTTCACCGGCGCCTGCGTCGGTCGTCTGAGGGTTTCGGGCGCAGTTCAGAAGGGTTTTTAGGGTTTAGGGTTTAGGGTTTAGGGTTTAGGGTTTAGGGTTTAGGGTTTAGGGTTCAGGGGGTTTAGGGTCCAGGGTGTGGGGGGGGGGCGGGGGGTTCGGGAGCTTAGGGTTCGAGGGTTGGTGCAATGTTCAGGATGCTTGCCTTCAAAGGGAGTCAAGAAACTCAGGCTTATGGAGGTTGAAAGGTCTTCCGTTCTTTAGGGTTTAGGGTTTAGGGTTTCGGGACCCCACATGTCAGGATGTAATATAGGGGCCTTAACAATTAGAACAGGGGTTTGGGGGTTATGATCGTAGAATTAGACAGGGACCATAAGGGAAGACTATTCGTAATTATTTCGATCCGTTCTTGTATTTGGGGCTCAGGGTTTCGCCATCAATCCTCTTTTTCGGGTTTCGGGTCGGCTTCGGAGGGGCCGTACTGTCGCAGGCCCTGGCGCAACCGAGCGTTGGGAGGCCCGCCGGGTTAGGGTTTAGGGTTTAGGGTTTAGGGTTTAGGGTTTAGGGTTTAGGGTTTAGGGTTTAGGGTTTAGGGTTTAGGGTCGCCAAACCCTAAACCCTAAGTACTCAATACCCAAACACCTAAGTACCAAGTGCCCTAAGATCTGACGGTTTGTCAAAGAGGCATATGAGCAATCTTTGCAGGCAGAGCCCGAAACACGACATTGCGACCCTAGAGAGGGGTTAAGCCCTAAACCCTAAACCCTAAACCCTAAACCCTAAACCCTAAACCCTAAACCCTAAACCCTAAACCCTAAACCCTAAACCCTAAACCCTAAACCCTAAACCCTAAACCCTAAACCCTGAACCCTGCAGGGTTCAGGGTTCAGGATCCCTTCAACCCGAAGCTCTCAAGTTGCCGTTGGTTAGTGGGAAATCAGGGAATGAGGTACCCCATATAATCCCTTAAAGGGTATACATAGGGGGATATAGGGTACCTCATTCCCTCATTCCCAGTAGGTAAAGGTGAAGGATACGTTTCTTGATGGCCCTGCGGAAGTTTGTAGTCATCCCCTCATGGCTCGGAATGGCGTTGGGTAGCTTTCCATGCGAGGATGCCCAGTAATTAGACAGAACCCTTACTCTGTTTTTGAGGGATTACGTGCCCTTAACAACACCCCTAGACCCGAACAATCGCAAACCCCACAGACCCCAAGTCCTTCCATTGTTAGGTTGTTGGTTGTTTTTCTCGCTCGCCTCAAGCCCTAAACCCCTCAACCCCAAAACGCTAAGCCCTAAGCCCCTAGACCCAACGCAAGTTTGGTCTGGCCCTGAACCCTGAACCCCGAACCCGAAACCCTAAACCCTAAACCCTAAACCCTAAACCCTAAACCCTAAACCCTCACAGGCAGACGACGTGGGTGCTGGATTGCCCCATGCTCCGCGTACCGCTGAGCCCATGGCTCAGCAAAATGCTGCGAGAGGGCACGGATGGTTTCGGTTTCGGGCTCGAGTGTAGGGTTGAGGTTTAGGGCTTGGGGTGTAGCGTTTAGGGGTTAGCGTTTAGGATTCAGGGTTTAGGGCTTGGGGTGTAGCGTTCGGGGGTGGGTGCTTTTAGGGGTTGGATTCTTTTTCTTCGTTGGGTGCCCTGAACCCTCAACTCCTCATCCCCTGAACCCTCATGCCAGGGCGCACCCACGGGATCCCTAAACCCCAAACCCCAAACCCCAAACCCCAAACCCCAAACCCCAAACCCCAAACCCCAAACCCCAAACCCCAAACCCCAAACCCCAAACCCCAAACCCCAAACCCCAAACCCCAAACCCCAAACCCCAAACCTAAACCCTAACCCCAAACCCTGAACATGATGCTGCCAAGCTTGCAGCTGTCCTCGGATGGGCGGAGAACTCATGCCATAGGAGGAAAGAAACCGACTCCGTCGCACAAGGGCTACAGCAGGGTCTCCAAGACCCCTTAATTAAGGAAAAGACCTTAAATCATAGGGTTTAGGGTTAGGGTTTAGGGTTTAGGGTTTAGGGTTTAGGGTTTGGGGTTTAGGGTTTAGGGTTTAGGGTTTAGGGTTAGGGTTTAGGGTTTAGGGTATAGAATTTAGGTCATATCAGGGTTCCTAGTATAATTTCAGGGATATTCCTTAATTCAGGGGTTTTTGGAGTCTCTGGCCTACAACAGGGTCTCCGACTGACGTGTACAGCGCAGCTCAAGCCTTGTTGTGGGCAAGTCATCCCTATCCCGGGCATGAGGCTGGGTGGAGGGTTCAAGTTCAGAACCCTCAAACCCTAAACCCTAAACTCCCAAACTAGGGGGCCCTAAGCCATTGGCAGTTTAGGGTTTGCGTGGGTTTGGGTTTTCGGGTCCTGCCCCCGCACCTGAACTACCTGTTTCATGATCGAGAGTCGTCGGAGGCTTGACCTAAACCCTAAACCCTAAACCCTAAACCCTAAACCCTAAACCCTAAACCCTAAGCCCTAAACCCTAAACCCTAAACCCTAAACCCTGAACCCTGAACCCTGAACCCTGAACCCTGAACCCTAAAACCCTAAAACCCTAAACCCTAAACCCTAAACCCTAAACCCCAAACCCCAAACCCTAAACCCTAAACCCTAAACCCTAAACCCTAAACCCTAAACCCTAAACCGCACACCCTAAACCCTAAACCCTAACCCTAAACCCTAAACCCTAAACCCTAAGCCCTAAGCCCTAAGCCCTAAGCCCTAAGCCCTAAGCCCTAAGCCCTAAGCCCTAAACCCTAAACCCTAAACCCTAAACCCTAAACCCTAAACCCCAAGCCCTAAACCCTAAACCCAATTTATCGGGGTTTTCCGGGCCCCTCCCTCCGGACCTCTTCAGCTCTGCCCACGAGAGGTCCCATTGAGCATCTTCGCAGAGCTTCAATTTCGGTTGCATGCGTGCTTGTTTTTTGTATCGCGCTCGCTATTGTTGCTGTGCTGCTGCCCTGACGCTGCGACCTCTTCCGAAGGTTGGGCCTCTGTACTTTTCAGTGACAAGTGCCCAGGGTGGTCTTCCGCGTCCAAAATACAGACGAGTGTCCTTTGGCAACCCCTTCAGTGTGACTCACAGTGTGACTCACGTGAACTGCTGGGGATCTTCAGGATACGGACGCATCTGGGAAGTTGCGACGTGAGGCAGCAATGGGCGACTTCACCGCGGGCGCTTGATCGTTGCGCCAACAAGATGATGCGCTTCGTCGGCTTCTGGCAAGAAAGTGGGTCGACGTATGCTGCAAGTGCCAATGGCTTCGGCGGCTCCGGCAGCACCTTTGTTTATCTTGGCGCTCTAGGAAACAGCTAAAATGATTGCTACGAGGGCGTCGGTGTGGAGTCCAGCGCTGACTGGGGTGAGGAGGATTGCCTTGATGTCGTCGGAGATTTGTGGTCTGCGTAGCTAGCTACGGCGAGCAGTGGCGTGGGGACTCGAGGAGCGACTGCGGCAACATGTCGATGAGTGCAGAGAGACATCATTGTTGAGTGATGCGGAGATTGAAGATTGCGTGCCATTCTTCATTCTTTCCTGAACAACAAAGGTATGTCTGCGACTTGCCTGTGGCTGAGGGTCAGCCTCTTGCGCTGGATCTGTTAGCGGGCATGCGTCAGCTCTGCAATGACACGGATGCCGTGTTGCCTGCTCTGCTGGCGGATGGAGCGCCGACGGGTGTTCAGCAAAAGCACCCCCCCTCAGGGGTGTGGCGGCCTGTAGATGTTTGCAGAACGGCCTCCTTTAGACTTGCTCGCTGAGGCGCAAGACCACTTTGGTCAGGCAGGTGCTGGCCGACTCGGACTTGTGAACAACGCGCCGCGCATTGTGGCGGGCGATAGCGTAGCGTCGAAGGCTAGCGTGCTCGGCCTTCCCATCGTGACATTTGACGTTGTGTGGGTAGAGGGCTTGGGTATTCCCTATGTGCGGTGCCAAATGACGCTGGCGGAGTAGCTGGTTGCGCTACCGTGCTTGCCACTATATAATCGGGCGGCGTGCTGCGTTTGCGCGGATAGCACGTCGTGTCTTGCAGCTGAGACACTTTCTGGTGACGTATGTCGATGACATGCTCGCTCTATTTCCAAGGCCTGTTCCTTCGAGGATGGCAGTCTTTGTGATTAGCAACGTTTCCGGAAGCAACACACGTGCGGGTTCTTGCAGGGTTCCGTTGTCTTTTAGTGCCTGGAAGGAAGGTGTTGCATCGCGATCTGGAGAGCATATGGGATTACTTTCGTGGTTCACCGCAGGGTGCGCTGGTTACGACCCTGGCTTCGACAGCTATTTCAATGTTTTGTCACAAGCCAGCGCTAACGATGTACTGTTTGGATGGCATGCAGCGATGCGAGATCCTGGAACATTGCGGCTCTGAGGGGATTATCAGACGTACGGCTAAGTTATCAGACATTCCAGACGGGTGGCACGTTCTTCAGACAGGGAAGCACTGCTGGGGTGAGTCAGAGGATACGATGCGAATGTATTCGTCTTCCGAGCGGGTTTGATCCAAGTGGATCGACCCTGCTGGGGGCACGGGGTTGCAGTCCGGGTCTCAGCAGAGGACCCAAAGTTTCGCGGTAAATTCGTAGGCTCGTAGATGCCAACGTGCAGGTACACCTGGGTGAGCGCGAGGGCCTGTGTGTTCTGGCGGGCGCGGACGCGTTTGGTCGAAGAAATGTTGAGGGGCCCTCGGTGGTTTACGCCTGGCCTGGGCGGGAGTATGATTGATGCGGGGAGCGTTATGGCTGGTTCTCGTTGCAGAGGATGGGCGGTTTTGTGCCGATGGCGAGCGCATGCGTTTGCAGACCCTCATTGCAGCCTCCGAGGCACGAGAGCAGCTGGTCTTGTGATGGCGTGTTACAGGAATATCCTGCGGAGTGACTGCTTTGTCTTGGTGATTTGGTGCCGCGACAGTTCTGCGACATCGATGGGGTTGTCGGAGCTGTGGCTAAGTGGTCTGCCATGAAGCGCCCTTTGTCAGATGTGGTGCAGCCTATGACATTGCTGGCCGACACAATGGCTTAGAGTTTTTTTGTTTTTTTCTTCTCGCCTTTGGGTGTCGAGGCGCTCCCCCTACAGTGAACGGTAAAACCCGAAAAAAAGTTTGGGTTTAGGGTTTTGGCGTTTTAGGTTTTTTGGTGTTCGGGGTTCTGTTCGTAGGGGTTTAGGGCTTTCTGGGTTTAGACTGATGCAGGGGTGTCGCGTTTTCAGGGTAGGTTGTAAGGCTGGTGGATTCTGGTTGTAAGCTTTCTCGGTTTACGGGTTTCGGGGTTTAGAGGCTAAGGGGTTTTGGTTTCGGGGCTGCAAGCGTTGAACGTCTTTCGGGTTTCAAGATTTCTCAGAAGTCACAATTTCAAAAGAAACCTGGTTCTCACTTGCGGCTAAAACTCTAAACCCTTGATTCTTGATCTTGACCTCGTTTCAATAACCCCCCCGTCCCAGAATGAGGTCAACATTAAACCGTGAACCCGAAACCCTAAATCCTAAACCCTAAGCCCTAAACCCTCAATCCTAAATCTTAAGCCGTAAAGCCAGAAAGCCCGAAACCCCAAACCCTAAGTCAACAGACCAAGGCTCGGAGTTAGTGACGGCTTCGCCGGCACCGCCGGTGCTGGACATTGTGGCGCTGAACTTCCAGTTGAGCTACAGCTCGGGCCTTTGCAGGATTCAGGGTTTAGGAGGCTTTAGGGTTTAGGGCTTAGGATTTTGGATTTAGGGTTTAGGGTCTCCCTAAACTTAAACCCCAAACCTTGAGCCACTGAACCCAAGCCTGAAGCCGTGAACCTTGGACCCTACCCCCCCCCCCCCCCACCCTAGAATCTTCGGCTCTGCTGGGTTTTGGAGTATACTTTAATACTTTGTTTTAGTTCTGGGTTCCGATTCTAGTTGCTTGTACCTAAAAAGTGTATACACTTTTTCCAGGGTCTACTCCAAAGCGGGGTCTAAGCCCTGAGCCCCAGCCTTCCAAACCCCTCAAGCTCGCTGGGGCTTAGGCCAGGGAGCTTGAGGCTTCGTATGCTATCTCATTTTTGTTTGTGAGGCTTAGCATTCAGGTTTAGGGTTTAGGGTTTAGGGTTTAGGGTTTAGGGTTTAGGGTTTAGGGTTTAGGGTTTAGGGTTTAGGGTTTAGGGTTTAGGGCTTAGGGTCTAGGGTCTAGGGTTTAGGGTTTAGGATGGGCGGGCGACCCTTCTAGTAACCTCTCAAAGGTGCAGTCCAGGGCTCAAGGCGCTCAGCCTTTGTTGGCTTTGTGAAATGTAGGGCTTACTGGCTGGTTCTTGGTAGGGACTAGGGGAATGAGGTACCCCACCAAATCCATGAAAGGGCATAAGGGCCCTAAGTTTCTCAGTCCCTACTAAGAACCAGTGGGTTCAGGGTAGTTCAGGGTTCAGGTAGTTGAGGGTTTCGGATTTAGGGTTACCCTGGGATTTAGGGTTTGGGGTTTAGGAATTGGGGTTAAGGGTCCTACCTAAGTCCAGGTTGAAGGGCAGCGAGTTGAATTTTCAGGGATCCTGAGCAACCCTAAGCCTAAGCCCTAAGTGGGCAGCTTTGTTAAATTGGCGTGCCCCTGTGGTTTAGGGTTTAGGGTTTAGGGTTTAGGGTTTAGGGTTTAGGGTTTAGGGTTTAGGGTTTAGGGTTTAGGGTCTATGGTCTAGGGTCTAGGGTTTAGGGTTCAGGGGTGAGGGTTTAGGGTTGGTTCAACTACAGACTTGCGAGGCGCTGAGAATGAAGATCCCAAGAAGGAACCCAAGTCAATGGAACCCTCAGCGGGCCTAGGGCTTCTGGGGGCAGGACCGCCCTATAGGGTTTAGCGTTGGGGTTTTTGCGTCTTGAACCCAAGAAGAAACCCTAAACCCTGCACCCCTAAACCCTAAGCCCTACGGCCTTGACCATAAACTCCAGACCCCGAAGCCACAGCCTTGCGCTCTAAAGCCGGCCTAATCCCTAAACCCTACCCACACAAGATGCCCCGATCAGGCTCTCTGCACGGCGTTCATTCCCTCCGCCTCCCGAAGGCTGCGCGACCCAGATCCCAGGGTTTAGGGTTTAGGGTTTCGGGTTTCGGGTTTCGGGTTTAGGGTTTAGGGTTTAGGGTTTAGGGCTAGAAAGCAGAACCTTTCACAGACCTCTAAGCCCTAAATCCTCGACCATAATTTGGGGGTCTTTTCCCCCGCACCCTGGAGGGCTTTTTCGGGGAGCTTCACAAGGTTTAGGCTTGCAGGGCTTTGGGGTTTTGTGGGTTGAAGGGCTCAGTGAACAAGTTACCCAAATCTCTAAACCCCAAACCCTAAACCCCAAACCCCAAGCCCTGAACCCTAAACCCTAAACCCCAAACCCCAAGCCCTGAACCCTAAACCCCAAGCCCTGAACCCTAAACCGTAAAGCCTAACCCCGCCAAGAAGCTCAAGCCCCCAAGACACGAAAGCTCGACACCTTCAAGGCCAGTCCCGAGAAAGCTCCTTAAGCCCAACCCTAAAAGCCTCAGGCACCCTTAACCTTGAACCCTACAAACCCTACGAACCCTACAAACCCCACAAAGCCTCAAACCCTAAAACCCCCCAAACCCCCCAAACCATTAAAACCCCCCCAAGAGACTTGGGAGCTCCCAAATCTCCCGCAAAGGAGGGGGCGGGGGCGGGGCGGGGGGGGGCGAAAACAGCAACTCGAGAGCCTTGGTGTTACATCAGTTGCACTTTGGGGTTGAGGGTTCAGGGTTTTAGGCTTCAGAGGTTTGTAAGGCTTAGAGGCGTAAGGTTTGTAGGGTTTAGGGTTTAGGGTTGGCATGCTGAGGTTTAGGGGTTTGGGCTTTACGGCCGTTTTTTGCTTGTATTGTTGTTGGGGATACTGATTTGAGCATGCACTTCTCTTCTTGTTCGTGTTCTCATCGTTTTACCAAAGGACGAACCATGTCCTCGAGGCCAAGCCCCCAACAAAGGGTTTGGGGGTAGCTATTTTCTAAAGGTAGTCTGTATTTCGAAAGTTGTCTTTAGGCTATTCAAGGGGTTATGACTGTACCCCTAAAGGTTCGCCTTAACAGCCTTAGCATACTCCGAATATGGCCCTTACATCAGTTTAGGAAGTTTTAAACAGGGTCCCCAAACCCAAGGGTACCACCTTACTGGTCCAGGGTAGAGTCCCTTTAGGGTATTTGTGTGTAGGGTCACCTAAACCCTAAACCCTAAACCCTAAACCCTAAACCCCCTAAACCCTAAACCCTACACCCTGCACCCTAAACCCTAAACCCTAAACCCTAAACCCTAAACCCTAAACCCTAAACCCTAATAAACCCTAGTAAACCCTAATAAACCCTAAACCCTAAACCCCCAACCCTGAGCCCTAAACCGTAAACCCTAAACTGCTTCCCTCTCCGCCCTTCAGGGAGAGGTCCTCTGCCCCAGTGCAGCACCATCGGGCAGGATCGTGGGGTTGGGGAGGGGAGTCTAGGGTTTAGGGTCTAGGGTTTATAGGGTTTAGGGTTCAGGGCTGAGGGTCTAGGCCAGAATGCTGAAGCCTACATAACTAATGCCTGTAGAGCTGCGTAAGATAAGCTGCCCGAAGCATTCCAACTACACAGATCCCTTGAAGTCGGTGTTCCGGCTCAGGGTGTGGGGTTACCCTTAGTTGTATTGTAGGGTTTAGGGTTTAGGGTTTAGGGTTTAGGGTTTAGGGTTTAGGGTTTAGGGTTTAGGGTTTAGGGTTTAGGGTTTTAGGAAGTATTGGGGAACCTTGAGTTACGGGGCAGGAGGGGGGTGGTAGAGCTTGCGGTTGAGGGTCTGCATCTTCGGCTTGGAGTTTAGGATCTGGGGTTAAGGTGAAGGGTCGAGGCCCTAAACCTAAACCCGAAGCCCTAAACCCTAAACCCTAAACCCTAAACCCTAAACCCTAAACCCTAAACCCTAAACCCTAGGCCCCAAACCCTAAACCCTAAACCCGAATCCCTAAACCCTAAACCCTAAACCCTA